AAACTGGCGCAGATTTCCTAGAGTGAGCAACTTAGACTCATGAAAGCATTGGCCTAGTTTTTAGTATTTCTTCAATCCAAAAACTCACTTGCCTTTGCATAGATAGCTGAGAAAATTCCCCTAATGGGTTTTGCTCTGACTGCAAAATAGAATGCTGATTGGCCTCATCTCCTGCTCAGGGTTAGTTCCTTACCCTTACATTCTTGTAGAATCTCTGCTTTTCTCATCTGGCTTAGAAGCTGAAGTAAGTGCTTTCAAATACAGTCAATATAGGGCCCAGGGATAATGCATCCGAAGTCCATTTTGAGCCTGAACTTCTTTCTTTCTTTCTTTTTCCTGAGCTTCTTTCTAAGTGCTTTCCTCCCCCCTGCCCCCCATGTTATTTGAGAGATGAGAGGCAGTGGGGAGAGAGAGATTGATTAATTGGCATTGAGGACTGGGCCAGGCCAAAGCGAGGAGGCTGGAACTCAGTCTATCTCTCTTTTGGGTAGTAGAGACCCTAGTACACGTGGATCATCATCTGCTGCCTTCCAGGGTGCACAGTGGCAGCAAGTCGGACTGGAAGCAGAGGAAGCTAGATCTTAATCAGGCACCATGATATGGGATGTGGGCATTCCAAGTGTGTCTAGAGCTTCTTTTCCAACCTGATTTAGAAGCCTGGTGCCTGTGGCTCTGTAGCTCACTGACAAGTGGCTTTGAATCGGACTCTTCCTCTGATGAAGCACACGCCTTGCACATTCAGGGGCCATCTCTTAGGAGGTCTGTGAGTGAGGTCTAGAATATGGAGCTCTTCGGGCTTTACCATGGGGCTTTGCATCCTTGTAATATGTCTTTTTATAATCAACACCTAAGTCATAAGTAAGTGCAACTGGCTTCTCTTAAAAGCCTTTCTGGAGTACTTTTACGCCACAAGAATAGACATAACAGAGATCATTTCCTTCCTTCAATATTTTATGTCATTCACTATTATGTCTCTGGCCCAAGTTCAGATTCAGGGCACCAAAGATGGTGTTTATGGTCATCAGTTTGTATCTGGGTTCAGTTCTTGAAATCATTACTCATTGGGGCCAATTATAATTTCCTGCATGCCCACCCTATTGTCCCAGCTATCAACCAGCCCAGTTCTCCAAAGATTCCAGCTTCCTGGGTTTAATGTCTACCAGTCAAGAGTTTGCCTTTCCCTCCTCAGGGAACTGGCAGTCTCCCCCAGCCCCACACACTAATTTTTCCTCGTCCATAGACCATTAGCAATTCAAAGTACTTGATTATTCACCATTAATAATATTTTTAACAGGCACTTAATAATCAACAAGTTATTTCCTGTATTTCGTGCACCCATGTAAAAGCTAGCTTTATACCTATAGTGACAGTTGTACTAGTATAAGCTGCTGCCTGGAAAACTTGTTAACTTTTAATAACATTTACTGATTTCCTAGACTGGACCTTGGGGTATGTTTGGGAATTTGCTCAGCTGCCTCAAGAAATCAGGACTGGACTAGGACTAAATGAAAGAATAGGAAGGTATTTGTTTTGAAAGACTGTAGTTGTATTTATATTTTTAAAATTGATTTACAACCAAGAAAGGGAGAGTGAGGAAAGGGAGAGAGAGCTATCTTCCATCTGATGATTTATATCCCAAATGTTTGCACCAGCCTGGGTTGAGCCAAACCAAACTCAGGAGCCCTGCGCTTAATCCCAGTATTCAGCATGAGTGTCAGGATCCAACTACTTGAGCCATCGTCTGTTATCTCCTAGAGTTCACACCAATAGGAGGCTGGAACGGACAGGGGGCGGGACTAGAACCCAACCGTCCTGACACAACATGTAGGCATCCTAAGTGATGTCCTGACCATTGTACCAAATGGCTTGCTTATGAAAAATGCTTCATTCTCCTAGAAACATAGTCTGTGGACTGCCTCCTTCTATCAGTACTAATACTTCAATATGAGTGTCAAGGAAAGATGTGATCCAGATAGCTTCCTGATTTCAAAATTACAGTTTTCCTCTGCGTACAATAGAAGAGTGAGAATTGCAACTATGATCATAATTAATTTAGTTTTGGCTCAACTATTATATATTACACTAAGGTCAAATATTAGTTACCTACTTAAACCTACAGTGCTTTCCAAAAGGTTGTTTTTTTAAAGCTTTCCTTTGAAGTGCCAGGATACATTGGTTTAGCACAGTGCATTAGCAAATTTGTAAGGATAGAGGTAAAAGCAAAACTAATGGGTATGTTTGTCTTTCTTCAAGGCACCATGTTTCCTGTCATTTGGTGGGGTTTTCTAAAACCATACTGAGTGTCAAGCTGTGTTCCAATGGAGTTGGAAGGAATAATAAGCTAGGGCCACAGTAATCTATTTGTCTTGGTTCAATTCCAAGCAGATGATAACACGAGAACACTGCAGTTAAGGGTTTACTGGAAAAAATAACACCTGTGTTAAACCAGATGATTGCTGAAGGGAACACACAAAAAAAGTGGGGAAAACTAATTCTGATTGGTTGAACACAAAGTACTGAGGTGGTAGGTACTTTCCAAACAATTCCACTTTGCTAGTTTGAATATATTAGATATACTGGCTGAGTAAACAAACTTAGAAAGGAGACTCTGCCACAGGTATGTGATACTGTGAAATTTGAGTGAATTTTCTAGAACAAGAAAGTGATGGCTTGAGGATTATGCACGGGAAGTATGGAACTAGAGGAACCTCTCTTCTGAGTCTTCTTTTCCATTTATTTGGTGGATAACTTTGGGGGAAAATTATTTCTCTCTTTGTCTTGGATTGCTTTTCTGTAAATGGAGAGTGAAAATGTCTTGCTTGTAAGTTGAAATATGCATGCCAAGTTATGATTTTTATGTAAAAAAGTGATATGATGTTAGCAGTGAAGGGAAATATCAGCACTAAACCAAGAAAAAATCATTTTAGAAGAAAAAGACACTTGAAAATTTTGAAAGTTAATTAAGCAAACACTTAATACCTACTTTGGTTGGGAGAATATTAGCCAAGGATGAAGTGACACTAAATAATTAATTTTACCTGGTACCATGAGGCCACCTGCTCTACTTCAAAAAGGTGTTATGAGCAGCGTAACACTTTTATAGCTAGTCAAAAAATTCATAAAAATAATTGAATGGAAAGACTCAACATCAGAACATTCTGGCTGAGTATACAAATGAAAGCAGGCAGTAGGGGAGTGTGACCTTTTTCATAACTGTCTACATGAAATACACTGCTTATTTATTGCATGGGTCTTGTGGTTATCTGCTGACTAGAATTGCATTTTGGTGTCCTAGTGATCATTTCGGGCCTGAACTTTGGTTAGCGTAATCACTTTTTTAGATAACTTGTAAATGCTGTGATTTTTTTCCCCTTTCTATGCAAATCATATTTCTTGACCCCCTTTCAAGTTAGGCACAGCTACGTGATCCTATTTGTCAAATGCAGAGCGAGGAAGAAGTCATCTGACTCACCTCTCGTTTCCTCCAGTTTAGCCACCAAGGAAGTCCTTGTGGAGATGGCATCTTCATCAGCCCCTTCTGCCTGGTGGGATGAGACTTGAGTGTGAATGAGAAAAACACTGGGTTAACCCTAGGGGCATTGTGGGTTGTTTACGAAAGCAGAAACTAGCCTGTTGTGGCTAAAGTAGGTGGTGTAAGGCCAGGTATCTATTTGTGGATTCAGAAGCAGCCAGGTGGCACAACTCAACAGCCTGGCAGCCTGATACTTACAAAGAATGATTCTTCAAAGACACAAAGCAGCTCACCAAACCAAACCAGAAAGGAAACCCCCGGCTGCTGTGTCCTGAGAGCTCCTCTGTTAGTAGCAGGATTTGCTCTCCCTCCAACTCTTTTCTGGTTAGGAGGGTGGATCCACACACTTTCTCTGTTGCAGTCTAGGATTCTGACTACTAACCATGGCCAATGTTAGTGGGACTGTGGACTAACGGCCTCTTCCATGACCACTTCCCACATGTCCCTCCCTTGCCATCTCCCTCTTTCCCTCTCTTCTTCCTTCCACACATTAAGTGATTGCATGCCTACTGTGTACCAGGCCCTGTACAGTTTCTAGAAGTGCAAGCCAAAGCGCTGTGATTGGCCTCAAAAGGGGTTTCTATTGAGTTAATGGAAGTCTAATCTTTCTGGTCAAATAATCCGAATTAGCTGTGGGTGGTCAAGTCAGCACACGGCTCTACACAAGACCCAAGACGTTTGTCCTCTGCTTACATAGGCAGTGGTAAATGTCATATTTGAGATAACGATAAAATAACATGCTGGCTCAGAAATGACATGGAGTGACCACAGACCCTAAGTGGTTAAGCCTTGAGCGCTATACAGATTAACTTCTGCCAAAATGAATTGAAACCACACACAAACATCTTAGCACAGCTATCCGAAGTTATTAGTAGTCTTCCAAAGATGCTATCAAGTCTTTAGGAAGATCACGAGGAGGAGGAAATTGTATTCTTTTGGAACATTTTAAAGAATTCTCAAATATTTGAGGAATGTGTGGGAGGTGCCAAGTCCTTTTTGTCAGGCCACGCTGGAGCCCTTTCCGGTTCACATGACCTTCTTCCTGCTGGAACCATTAATCACAGCTGAAAACAACAGCAGTTGGAAGTCATCAAATAACAAAGACAAGACAGAAACATTGACCAGTGACTTGAGTGATAGCCAGGAACTGACAAGGTTGGAAAATATTTTGTCGAAGATTGTACATATAAAAACCATAAACCTCAACTGATTCCTGGAATTTATCATTTTAAGCTTTGCTAGTCCAAAGTGGAATCACAGTGAATGTGAAGAACAATTCTGAGAGGTGTTGCTTTTGTTTATATTTTTATTCAGCAAAGTATGCTTAAAACAAAAAATCATAACATCGGTCACCAAACAAAACACCAAACATGCCACAAAGCAAATCAAACATAGGAAAGTTTCCTTGTTAACGTATTTGTATTTTTCAATTAAAAAAAATGAGATCCAGAGATACAAGATGGAGAGGGAGAGACAGAGAGAGGGAGAGACAGGTGGAAGAGAAGGAGAAAAGAGAAAAAGAGAGCATTCTCTCACTTGCCAGGTCAATCCTTAAATACCTGCCATGGTTGGGGAGCGGGCTGGGTTGGGCCAGGTCAGGGCTGGAGCCAGAAGCTAGGAACACAATTCAGGTTCCTCTCACCTGAGTGTCAGGAATCCAACTCCTTGTGCTGTCACTGCTGACTTGTAGAATCTGCCTTAGTAGACAGCTGAAGGCAGAACCCAGAGCCGTGCATTCTGTTGGAGGGATACAGCTGAGATACACTGCTCCCATAACCTGTTTGCTAGCTGGGCCATGTAGAGAAAATGGAAACTCACAGACTTAACAATATACACACATTCAGAGATCCTAAGTGCTGATTTAGGAAGCATCTTTATTTAGTGATCAAGAATTCTGAGTTATAAAACTGTGAATGACCTATGAACACAGATTACTAAAATGAGTCTCTTCTCACAAACTAGAATAATCTTGGAAGTCAGAAAATAATATATATATACTCTATACTTCTGCAGTTGGTGGCCTGGGTTGCTCTCCATCGTCGGGGAGACTGTCCTGGTGCTCACTCCCTCCGGCTGCTGCGCCGCAGTGTCCCCGGTGACTTGGGATCGCAGGAAGCACTCGGTTTGTCCGTAGTGGTTCTCCAGACAGAACTGGGGAGAAGGAATGGAAAGCGAGACTTTCAAGGCAGGCTGTTGGCAGAGCCTCCTGTGAGCAGTGCTGTCAGTCACCGGCACCATTGCGCAAGGAGCTCGTCCTGGTGGTGACAGAGCTGCAGAGGGAGCACCGTGCATGCAGGTCTGCTCAGGCCTGGGACACACACATGGGCAAGGAACTCAAAAGAACACAGCAAAAGCAAGATGGCACCATGTTTGATTAAGAACAAGATTGGGACTGCAGGCCAGGCAGAGCTCTGCTTGGGAGGTGTGGTAGCTGTAGGATGGTCAAGCCAGAACAAGGTTCTGCCCAGGGCCCGGGATGGGGCGTTGGCTCTGTGCTTTTATGCAACCCTCAGTAGCATCTCAGGTTTCTTTTGGGAAAAGCACTATATGGTCTTGGACTTGTTTTTAAGGAGGGCTGTGTTGATTGGAGATCCGTATCTTCTCTCTCTCCTGGAAAGTAAAGCTCTTGGGGTGCCAGAGAAAAACCTCTATGGCTTTCTCCAAACCTCACCAGGGCTCAAGACTGTGACACTTTCCTTACGCACGTGGCTTCGTGAAATTCTGCTTCAAGACACATCCAGGCTTGCATTTGATTCACTGATACAAACTGCTGTCATCCCAAACTGTCGCTTGACACAGGTTGGTAAGGGCAGAGGGATTTAGCTGTCCAGGAAAAGGTCTAAGTTTCTGCTACGGTTTAGGGGTTGGTTTCTTTTTCCATGCTTGTACTTAGACCCTATAGTTCTAGTATTTTCTGTGGGTACCCTCCCAACTCTGACTGGGTGTGTGCCCCATGCAGACAGCGTACCTGATGTTGTATGTGTGTTTTCTCATTTAACCCTCCTGACTACCTCACTGCACCGGCATTATCACCTCAGCCAAAAGAACTGAAGCACACAGAGAAAGGCTAAGGAACTTGTCAGAAATTGTTAGGTCAGCTCCCAAATCACTGGGTGGGGTGGAATAGGGAGAAAAAGGAGGAAGGAAGTTAGAATCCAGTTCATTTCATGAGGCAACTGACTCATGATCCTGTAGTTTTTCCCTTGGTTCTGCTATGTACTATCCAAGGAAGATTAGTTATGGAAGTCATATAATCTCTTCAGAACTCAATCTTCCCCTCTGTACATATTATAATATTAATACTAATTAATATTAATAGTAATATGGGAACTGCTTCAGCGAGGGTATACGACTTCAACATCTCAGGGTATTGGGCCCAGATATTTATATGTAACAAACACCCTAGGGAATACTTAAGAGACACTCAATTTGAAGATCATTGGCCCAACAAAATATACAAATAAATATTGTAATTGTGGGATTTTTTTGTTTAATATATGATGAAGCAAATTAACATCAGAAGTATTCCTGAATAATGGCATGTACTTCCTACTGAGGAATGCCTACACTGTGAATACGGAGAAAGAACCCATTTCTAATGGGTTCCGCTCCTTGGATTGACCTGGCAAGTGAGCACAACCAGAGAATTAATGGCAAGAGGCCAGGCTTGGGAAAAGAATTTTTCCTTTTTTTTTTTTAATTTCAATTTATTTGAGGGACAGGTGGATAGAGACCCCCCCATTCACTGGTTCACTCCCTGAAAAGGCTTACAATAGCTGGGGCTCCAAAGCCGGGAGCCAGGAACTCAATCCAGCTTTTCCGTGCGGTGGCAGGAACCTACCCAGCTGACCCAGGACTGCACTTGGAGTCACAAGCCAGAGCAGGGAATTGAGAGCAGACCTCGTGACGTAGGGTGCAGGTGTCTTAATCTTTAGACTAACCAAAAAATCGCTCCCAAGAGGACACGATATAAGGCATCTTCCTAAAGTTATTTTAAAAATATACCCAAAATAATCTTCTGGGTTTATTTTCCTGTTTCTCAGACACAAAAATTCCTGAAGGGAGTAGAGTATTCTTTTTGCTGTTGGTTTTTAAAATAAGTATAACCCACTGATGCCTTAAAGGATGCCTCTATTTTTCCATTCTATACAAGCTTCAGTAAAAGTCATCTGTAATCCCCTTGAGTTGTATGGCAAAGAAATGCAAAGAAAGATTTGTACTACTTACATTTTTGGTCTGGTAGGGGAGCTAGGTTGCTCCGAGTGAAGGGAAAATCCTTGATTTTGGGTCGGTTTGGGGAGAGATGCTGAAAATTTTGACCTGGAAACAATGAAATATTGGCATCAATTATTTGAGGCGAAACTATAAAGTGCAACAGAGAATACAATCATGAAAGGTGCTGGAGATGAGTAAATTCGAGGTGCTAAGAATCTCAGTGATTTTTACTACATTTAAATGAGAAGGACAAAAGATCAGAAACCATTTTTGAATGAACTAGTTTCAATCAAATGTTTCAAGGAAACACTTCATCACTCATATCCTACATGTTGCAGAAATAAAGAGAACATGTATGGTGTTAATGTAAAGCATGTAGTCACTAAATCTGATGAATGAATGAATAATGAGTAAAATCTCTTTATCTGGAACAGTGTTTCTTAATCCTGGATACACATAGGATTGATATAAGGTAAATCATTTTTTTCCCAGGGTACACGCTGGGGAGTGGGGAGTCAGATTTATCAGCTTCCAGTTAATTCACGTGTGTACTCAGGACAGGCGTGGATTGACCTAGATGATGGCGCTGGGATGTTTGGGAAAATAGCCCTTCTCTTAACATTGGCAGTGACCTACGGTGTACGGCAGCTGGCCTGCCACATGAACTAGCCCTCAAGAGCTGATGATTAATTTATTTGGAATTTTATGAATTGGTGGACATCATGCCGATGTGTTTTGAAATTGAGCGTGATGGAAGCATTTATGCCATGGGAATCGGCTAACACTGATTGTTTTTTTCAGTAGGGCGTTCATCAACACACACCTGATTACAGAATGTGTCAGAGCTCTGAAAATAGAAGGCAGTACAGGAAAGTGATTTAAGAATAAATGTTGACTGAGGAGCTGGCTCCCTGGCCCAAAAGCTAATCCCCTGCCTGTGGTGCTGATATTCCATTCCGTATGAACACCAGTTCTAGTTAGCCCCCACTGCTGCATTTCTGACCCAGCTCCCTGCTGGGTGGCCTGGGAAAGCAGTAGAGGATTGCTCAAACCCTTGGGATCCTGCACCCACATGGGAAACTCAGAAGACGCTCCTGGCTCCTTACTTCAGACTGGCCCAGGTTTGGCCATTGTGGTCATTTGGGGAGTGAACCAGGAGTTGGAAGATTCTCTCTCTCCCTCTCTGTAACTCAACAAAATAAATCTTTTTTTTTTTTTTTTGACAATCTTTACATAGTTTATTAAGGCACAAAGGGTCAAGGGCTACAGGGAAGTGGGTAAGACTATTATTTCCACTTTTTTTTTTCCCTCTATCTGGGGAAAAGAGGGGGATAAAGGGAGAAGCCCCACCCAGCCTCCTATCCATCCCAGGTCCCCGATGTGGGGCATGCTCTGAGGGTCTTGCAAAAGTGGTTTTTTATAGTTCAACAGTTCTGAATTATTGCCAATCTCACCATTCCAAGCACAATGAAGTCACTGCAGAATCCACTGATTGACATAGTCGATCTTAGAGTATCTGTTTGTCCAGATTTTCACTGCCAGCACATGGCTGGGGTAGTTGATTGATTTGTTCTGTCCTCTGTCCTCTGTTGTGGTACCAGGTGTCCTCTGCAGGTTCCAAAGGACTGCCATATCCTCCATGGGCACCTGGTTATGCTCTCCACTGTTTGCCCAAGCCTCTGAGGTGGCTCAGATCTGACACTTGCACTCCCTGGCACACCATGGAACATGCACTTCTCTTCATGGTTAGGGTTCTGAGTCCGGCAGTTTGATTGGGGAGATCCCCAAAGAAACTTTGTCTGAGGTGATCCCAGACCAGATACTTGTGTGTACTTGCTAGTACAGCACAGTCCGTTGCCCCCAATCAGCTGGTGGTTGCAATAAGCAAAATAAATCTTTTTTTAAAAAGTTGACTGAATGATATAATGAAAAGGAATTTAGGCACTGGGGTGGGACAGGATTAAGCTTGCTTCTCTGCTTCCTTTGTAGCATATGCCCAAACCTACCTTGCCCCCGTTTAAGTAAGCCCAATGGTAGATTGTGGAGGACAGCTAACAACACAGGGCAGTCTAATGAAGATCGAGCAACATTCCCGATGTCTTTGGTGGATTTTTCCCCACGGAATGTTTAACTTCTGGAGCCATCATTTCTAATAAAAACATTTCTTTTTTTTTAAAATAAAAATTATTGTCTTTTTATTTTTGATGATGTTTACATAGGGTGGGAAGGACCGGAGACGGGAGCCATCATTTCTAATAAAAACATTTATGGGTAGAATTATGAGTAAACTCCTAAGAACACTGGAAGCAGAAATCTGTAAAAACAAAGAGATGGCAATAACAGTCATTATAGATAATGTTTATTGGGCACTTAGATCATCAGGGATTGGGCCAAATATTGCTGGCCTATTCCCTTTCCTGAACAACCACTTGCCCTCCCTGGTGAGGCCAATATTGCTATATTTCTCTCTCTCTAAAGGAGGATCCTGAGGCTTGGGCAAGCTCTAAAACATGTTCCAGATCACATGCTAGAAACTGACAGTCTTGGCTCCGCCAAGGGCACCATTGTGCCTTGCTAGGAGAGAAAGCGATGTTGGTTAGGGTGGGAGAAGCAGTACTGAGGAGCAGCGTGAACTTGCGCATAACCAAAAAAACTCTTTTAGTTTCTTTCTTTCTTTTTCTTTTTCTTTTTTTTTTCCTATAGATACCTCCGGGGAACTTATAGCCTAGGGAGGCAGAGTTGAAGGCCACTCTAGAACAAAAACCCAGGAAAGGTTTTCACAGTTGCATGAAAGAACCAGAGTTGAAGGAAGAATTCATACTGGTAAGAACTAATGAACATATTCAGCAATCACTTACTGGGCGCTTTCAGTGTTCCAGTTCCTGGGGTACAAGGGGGGAGGAGATGGCAAAGTGATCAGAAAGGCTTAGAGACAGGTAAGGCTGTACTTCTGAGGCCCATGGGTAGTGCTGTGCAAGCAGGTGAGGCCATTGTCAGGAGGGAAGGATCCGCACGGGCAGTGTGGCCCTTGAATGCCCTTGAATTTGCTGACAGGTCGGCTGCTTGGTGAACTGAAGCTTCAATTTCCTCCATCACTAAATGGGAATGAAAAGTTGCTCTCCTGCATTGTGGTCCAAAGGGAGGCGCTCAACCAGGTGTGGTGTTGTTATACATCTTCAGAGTCACTGCTGAATTTCCAGTTAGTTCTTAAATCTGTCATGCACAGAGCAGGGGGAAGCTAAATCCATATCACAGGCAAAGAGGTCATAGAGTGGGAAGGAACAGGGTTTCCAAGGAACTGAAAAAAATTCAAGGGATGGTGAAGGAAAGCTGAGGGGTTGAACCTGGAAGACAAGGAAGCTGACCAGGGGGAAATAAGGCCGGATTGTGGCCCCAGGGTGGTGTTTTTCCAGTTAAGGAATTTGGCCTTTGTCCTGGAAAGACCAAAGCCTCTGAGAAGTTTTAAAGAGCCCTCACAGGATAGGAGCTAGGCAGCCTGTCCTGGAAGATACAGTGCAGTAGGGCACAGACAACCAATAAGAGGCCCCTCTTATATAGATCTTGGGCATATCCACAGCCAAACTTTTGAACCGTGGCACATCCACTACTGAATTTTTGGATTTTTTTTAAGGCTAATTAATTTATTTGAAAGAGTCACAGTTAGAGGGAGAAAAAAAAGAGATCTTCCATTTGATGGAACGGCTGAACTTTGAGCAGGTATTCATTTGGGATGGCAGCATCACACAGCAGCAGTATAACCTACCATGCCATAACTCTGGCCCCAAGGCTGAGATGGCCCACTGAGTCCTCTGCATCCATCCATGGGATGAACTGCAATTTGGGGTATTAAATTCACTTTTTTTCCCTGACAGGTCAGAAGGTCAGCTGCCTTTCTTGCTGAGACTGCCAATCTCTTCCTTGTAATTAAAAAAAAAAAAATTTATTTTTATTGGAAAGGCAGATCTACAGAGAAAAAGAGATACAGAGAGAAAGATCTTCTGTCTGCTGGTCACTCTTCAAATAGCTCCAATGACTACAGCTGAATCAATTTGAAGCCAGGAGCCAGGAACTTCTTCCGGGTCTCCCACACGGGAGTAGGGTCCCAAGGTTTTGGGCTATCCTCAATTGCCTTTCCCAGGTGACAAGCAGGGAGCTGGATGGGAAGCAGGGCAGCCAGGACACGAACCAGTGCCCGCATGGAATCCTGGAGCATGCAAGGCAAAGACCTCAGCTACCAGGCCACCCCACAGGGTCCCTTTTCGTAAATTCTTGATGCATGAATCACAATTTTTGAGAAGCAGCTGCAGTTAACAACCTCCTGACAGTTGATGCCACAGAAACAGCCATCATCCTATAAACCTTGGAGCTCACATTTAAAATCATTTAAGTATTCTGACTCTTGGATTGCAACCCCAGTAAATCCTAAATACACGTAATGCCCCCTTGGTCTCAGCAAGGTTGATTTTAATATTTGATGTCAAGCCAAAAAGAGTGAATTGTCACTGCAACTGTCGAGAAAATTCTGGAAAAGGAAGTTCTCTCTTACAGGAGAAAGGAAGTGAGCATTTTCTTTTCTTGCAATGGCTTATAAATAACCAGGCTAGCAGAAAACACCACAGAGCTTTCTGTTCCATTTTCTCTGAAAGCTGCAATGAATTAAGCTGATGTACTCCAAATTCCAACTCATTAGGATAAGTGCCGCATCACCCAGCTCTCTACATCTAGCTCGCTGACAGCTCTCAATAAATGTTAAGCAATAATCATTAGAGCTAAATGTTCAGGGTTGCTGATGCAAGCAGAGGATGGTGATTGCCAGGAATTCAAATAGTATTGCTGCGAGCCAGTATCGTTTTTACTCAATGCAGGGCAGGAAAGGAGAAAATCCAAAGATGGACGGACTTACCAAGTTCAAAGCAATGGTACAGTGGTATGATTTGTAGTATTTAATTGCTTTACTCTGTTAAATTTCCTCATGAAGATATGGGAATTCAACGGAGACACCTGCTAAGTTTAACCATCTTACACTCACAACCAAAGCCAAATAAGTAACTCCTTCAAGCAGAGAGCAAAACCTCAGTAGTTCCAAAACATCACATAACATTGGTTTTAAAAATACTCCAAAAATAAAAATCATAAGGTGGGGAAATCTTCATTTGGGGAAAGAGAAGGTCATTTATAAGAAAATTAGCCTGGAGATAGCTCACACCAACAACTGAACCTTAAGATTTTTAAAGAGAAAAACACACTGCCATGGTAATGCTTTCTTATTGAGGTGATCTGGGTTCAAGTTCTGAATGTGTCATCAATTACCTGAAACACTAGATCAATCATTTGACTTTTCCAGGCCATTCAAATTATAATTGCAAAGGGCTTCATGAAACCATAGAGTTCCAGTCCTTGGTTCCACAGCATTAGGCCACTGTAGACCCACAGAGATCATATTTCTTCCTTTGTCTATAAGGATTTATTCAGAGAAACAGCAGCACCACTCAGCTCACTCAAGCAGAGCGAGCGCTATACAGAAATCTGGTTATGCTGATGACAGAAAACCCAAGAAGTCAAGGAAAGGACAAGATGAATGAATACTCTAGAGATGAGCCAGGGCAAGCAGAGGCAACCACCTCTAGGCTGGAGGAAGAAAGGGAGGAGCTGGCATTGCCAAAGCCCAGGCACCCATGGGAGCCAGTGTTGCCGAGGCAGGGGCATGTGCGGAGGATGCTGGGAGAACATAGAGCCCACAGAGGGGCTGCAGGAAGTCGGGGGGTGGGGCGGTGGAGACTACGGAGGCCTACCGGTTTGCTCCTTTCTCCAGTTACTAAGCTTCTGCTTGTACCCCCTGATTCATCAAAACAACCTGGAGGCCTCCTGGCAAGGGAATTTGGGAAGGGCAGTTCTCAGTGGGAGTACAGCAAGAGGGAGAAGAGAGACAGCTTAAGCATCCATAAATTTTCTTTAAAATAAAGGTCACCTATGGGGTCACCTATGGATGTCTCCTTGGTATAATGCTTAACTTATGATCACACAGGTGGGAAAAATACATTTGCATATGCATTTTGGAATAAAGAGTACCCTGAGCAAATTACTATGCTATCAACTTTTTTGATCTTAACAGCTACACACAACCCTATGAACTGTGTGTATGGTATTTTATCCAACCCTTTTCTTTCCTTTTTTTTTTTTTTTTTCAGATGAGGAACCAGAGGCTACAAGAGATCCAGTGACAGGGAGGAAGGGCAGAGCCAGATCGAACCCAAACTACAAAGCTTTAGAAGTCCTCACTTAGCCAAGAACGGCTTTGAGCTCAATGAACACTCAATCACACTAGCTGGATGAATTCAAGCATTGACATAGGCAGAACAAATTGCTCAGGATTTCCTTGGAGAATCTCACTTCTCCTTTTTGCTGTTTTATTGGGTGCTGAGCAAATCCCCAAACCACATTTATTGACTTTCCTTTTATCTCCAACAATGCAGACATTTTTGAAAGGCAAAAAGGGCAAATTCTACCAGCTCTCTCTCCATTATGCATTCTCTCTCCTCTCTTGTTTAGGGCAGAAAGCAATGTGTCCATCTCAACGACTGTATTTCCAAAGCTCCTTCACAGATAGATGACTATGATGATGGTGTGGGACAGTGGCGGGATGAGCTGATTCAGCTCTCTGCTTCCTCCTTCCCACTCCAACAGCCTTTGAATGTGAAGTGACCTGGGCATGGAAAGCACGTTAGGCTTTGGAATACACGGGTGGAAGGAATCAGCAAGTGCCTGGGAAATGCCTTTCAGACTACTTTAATGGGAAAGCAATAAACTCCCATGTTGTTTAAGGCACTGTGACATCTATTTCAGGCAACAGAACCCAATGCTAACTAGGTTGTCTCTGAAGCAGAATAACATTTTAGAATTTTCTAGAAAGAAGGCATTTGTTTGGCCAGGACAGGACTAACTGCGGAAAGCAAGCTGAATGGATGCTCTGGAGACCATGACAGTGCCAAAAGGTGGCAGAACCACATGTTTCCTTCCCTATCCTATTGCAGAAGAAATGCAAAAACATGATGATGCCAGTAGGCAAAATGCATCAGTGCTAGGTGAGTGAAGAAGGATCATCAGTGGGGTTTCCTCCCAATGGAAGTAGCTTTAATGCGCTGTGCATTTATACCCCATGCTTCCCAATGTACTGATGTACAAGAGAGGAGCCTGGTCCTGCCTCAAAGGCTTCTGGCATCAGCCCATGTCAACAAGAGGAGACAGCCAGGCTTAGCTTGCATCTCAACTGGGAAGGGACACACTGCATTTGAAAAAGAGATATGGCCCTCCCCTACTTTACTTAAGAGATAGGTATTTATTTGGAAGGCAGAGTTAGAAAGAGAGAGAGGGAGAGACCGAGAGAGCTTCCACGCATTAGCTTACTCGCGACGGGGCCAGGTCACTGCCAGGAGCTCCTTCCTGATCTCCCACGTGAATCTCCCCTAGTTTAAAAAACACAATCACACTGCTCTCTCAGGCCTTTCATTTTTCCAATTTTGGCAGATACAAAGACAGAAGAAATATATCCTTTTCCTCCTCTTAATCTTACTGTTAGGAAAACATCCCTAGAGACATTGGTTAAGGAAAGGAGATTTTCTCAGCGCCCCTGTAAGAAGCTGTGTGGACTGTGCCAACCTTGTGACCAACGGAGGTGTCTACCTGGTGTGCGGCAGGACAATGGTTCCTCGGCTCCACCCCAGTCTTGCCAGATGGGATTTTGAGTTCTTTAATCCCACCAAAAACCAAAACATCGATAATCAACAATATCTAAAATTAAACACCAAAATACATTCATCAAATAACACATAGTCCTACCCCCCTTCACCCATTCCTTATTTCATACAAACTCTTTTATTATCAATTCCCTACTCCTACAACTAGCAAATACACTACTCAAATATATCAACCGTAAACAACCACACTCTTCAATTTATAAATACAACACTTAATATACTTTACCCATTTATTACTCAAACACCAACTACTTTATAGACACTATCAATCCCATATGCTCACATATATCCCCAACCACTATCTCACAAACCATATCTTCCATACCTTTGATTTAATTGACAATTTTACCAGTGCATCTTCATTACTTCTTCCTCTTATTACACATGCTACCAAACTCCCTTAGAATATACTTATCTCACTACTTCCAACTCTAAACACTAATTCCACACCCCACAAATCCCAATTCCTCACAACACAACACATATTTACCTATCCACATCTTACTCTCCAATACATCCACAAAACACAACTCCACTACCCCCCCATACCACCGCCACTACTCATAAATATCTACCCACCCCATTATCATCAACCATATCACATTACCTATAAACCTTAAACATTTCCCCACCCCCTCTCTCCATCACAACATAATAATCATTACTTACCTTCCATAAACAAATCCATTAATCCACAAATTTCCTTTATTTTCCCCTTTCATCCACCCACTTTACCACACAACAATTCTTTACACTTTTCTCTCCAAATCACCCCACCCAAACAACACCACATCCAACCATTCACAACTCTTACCATTACCTCATCAAATCATTACTTCACAAACCATACACTCCCCATCCCTTCTTTCTCTTCTCCCCCACCTTCAAATCCATCATCATGAATAGACCGAAGAGGAATATGTGGTGGCCCTGAGACCTCCTGGTGGCCAGGCCGGCCTGCGAGCAGTCTGTCCAGCAGCTTGTCTGAAGATGACAAAGTCCAAGCTTTGCAGGAGAACACCTGGTTAGAATCACCCCTCCAAGAGCTATCCAGCAAGGGATGACAGGCAGTCCTGTGACTCAGCAAGTCCTGTTCACTCCGACTCTGCTGGGATCTCTGAGCCATGGGTGGAGGGCCTGAGCTCAGGCCAGCATGGGACGTGGCTCCATGGGAAGCTGTCAGAAAGTGACTGCCCTGGGTAATGGGGGGGAGGCTCTGTGTTCTGATTGGTGGAAGCCCCTTGCAGGTCACAGATTTCTTTTCTGGCAGGAGATATTTTGATTTCTCAGGGGTCCTCTTCTTGAGATCCACCATTGCCACCTGGTCCCCGGGCTGTTCTTGGCAGTTGGAGTTCACGAGGCTGTCGAAGGTGGTGATGATGTCATCAACTTCCGAGGTGTCCTCTCCTTGGGCCTGGACCCTGCTGTGCTCCTTCTGGTGGACTCTGAGGTCTTCCTTCTTGCTTTTGCAGAAGATTTGGTTCAGCATACTGAAACGACCCTCTTTCTTCTGTGGTCTACTGTGCTGGGAGGGAAGGAGCTGGGCAGGCTCTGTTCTGTCGGAATAGAAGAGTACCAGGGCAGTTAGCGGAGTACAGGAAGTGCGGACAAGACTGTTAAAAAGACAGCAGCTCCCCCGTTCCAGCTCCTGGAGCAGCCTATCAGATCCAGCAAGGACGCTTCCCAAGCCCTGTGACATCCAAGATATCAGGCAAGAGCCCACGACACCCTCCTTTTTCCCTTCTACAAGTGTTATTTTGTTTTAAGATTTATTTATTTATTTACTTTTATTGGAAAGGCGGATATACAGAGAGGAGGAGAGACAGAAAGGAAGATCTTCCATCCAATGGTTCACTCCCCAAGTGACCACAAGGGCCCTAACTGAGCCAACTGAAGCCAGGAGCTCTTCTGGGTCTCCCATGTGGGTGCAGGGTCCCAAGGCTTTGGCTCCATTTTCAACTGTTTTCCCAGACCACAAGCAGGGAGCTGGATGGGAAGCAGGGCCACCGGGACATGAACTGGCCACCATATGGGATCCCAGCGTGTTCAAGGCGAGGACTTTAACCACTATGCTGTTGTGCCAGACCCAATTTATTTATTTTTATTAGTAAGGTAGATCTACAGTAAAGAGGAGAAACAGAAAGATCTTCTGTCTGCTGGTTTACTCCCCAAGTGGCTGCAACTGCCAGAGCTGAGCTGATCTGAAGCCAGGAGCCAGGAACTTCTGGGTCTCCCATGTGGGTGTAGGGTCCCAAAGCTTTGAGTCATCTTCTACTGCTTTCCCAGGCCACAGCAGGGAGCTGGATGGGAAGCGGGGCTGCCGGGACAGGAACCGGCACCCATATGGAATGCCTGAGCTTGCAATGTGAGGATTTAGCCATTAGGCCATCATGCCATTCCCCAGCCCCAAATGGTTCTTCCCCTGGCTAGTTTTTCAGTTAGGGAGTGCATTTCTTAGATTCTTCCCATTCTCTCAGAGACTTGCCTTTCAAAATTCGCTCCTAAGATAATCTATTTTCATCCAGGGACATGTGAAGTGGAAAATAGGGTGAAGTATTACTGTTTTCTTAAGGTCAAGGCAATACACATGTAGGCTTTAAGAGATGAAGGCGGCCGATGAGCCAAGTCCACGCTTCAAGGACTGGGAGGAAGCGGAAGTAGTGGAGGCAGAGAGAGTGTGGCTTTAAACTTTCTCTGAAAGTGATTCCAGGAACAATGCACAGGCATTGTCCCTCTCAGCATCCTTGGCTGTTTTTGCGTATTTTGTTTTCTCTGTGTAGTTTTTCTTTCAGTCTTCTATTCAATTGCCTGTTACGTTAAAAATAAAAATTTTTTTGTAGAAAGTAATCTACTAAAGGCAAAGAAGGAAAGAGACTGGGGGGAGGGTGGCGGGTGTGGGCTCCAGCTAAGAAGAGGAAGTGTGCACGCCAGAGGTTGGGTGTGGCCCCAGAGGACAAGTGAGCAATGTCCAGCGGGCAGGCCGATTCCAACAGCAGGCGGTTGGCCGGAGTTTGGCTGGCGGCACTCCAGTGCAGAGTTTCCTGAGGTCCTGTTCTGTTTCTGTTCCTTGGAAAAGTTTGTGTTATTCTCCCCTGAGCCTACAATGGACTTCAGGCTTTCTGTGGTATGAATTAACAATGAAATCTGACCCGGGCAGGCCCCTACGAGTCCGATTGCACCATGACACTGGAGTGGGATATTGCAATCTGTAATTTCAAAGATATTACCATTTACTTTGGATGCACATAATCAATGTCTTGTCTGCAGATCACATAGGGCACAACTGAATCTATTTCTGTGGTATACTTTTCTCTTTTTATTCTTTGGCTTTTCAGTGGGTTTTTTTTTTTAAAGATTCATTTTTATTATCTTTTTTTTATTGGAAAGGCAGATATACAGAGAGAAGGAGAGACAGAGAGGAAGATCTTTCATCTGCTGGTTTACTCCCCAAGTGAGCGCAACGGCCGATGCTATGCCGATCCAAAGCCAGGAGACTCTTCTGGGTCTCCCACGCGGGTGCAGGGTCCCAAAGCTTTGGGCCGTCCTCGACTGCTTTCCCGGGCCACAGGCAGGGAGCTGGAAGGGAAGCGGGGCTGCCGGGATAGAACTGGCGCCCATATGGGATCCCGGGCGTGCAAGGTGAGGACCTTAACCACTGTGCCACCGCGCCGGGTCCTTTTCAGTGGGTTTTAAAAAATTCTTTTAAATGTGGGACTGGTGCCATGGTTTAGTGGGCTGGGCTTCCACTTTTGCGAGCATCCCATCTGGGTGATGGTTTGTATTCCAGTCTACTTCCAATCCACTTCTGTGCTTATGGCCTGGGAAAGCAGCAGAGGATGGCCCAAGCACTTGGGCCCTTGACATCTAGGAGGGAGACCAGGTTGGAATTTCAGGCTTCTGACTTGGAACTAGCCCAGTCCTAGCTATTGTGGCTATTTGGGGAGTAACCAACAGATGGAAGACCTCTCCCTGTTGCTGTCTCTCCTTTGTTTTTCCCCCTTTTTTAAAAAATATATTTTTGTTTTGAATTCTGAATTATGTGGTACAATTTCATATAGGCTGGGATTTCCCCCTAAACTCCTACCCCCAACAGATTTTCCCCATTTTACTACAATAGTGTAGTCCTTCATAAGGAATCATAATTCTATTAGTCTCTTACTTAAGGGTACCCCGACACTGTTGGTATAGACAATGTCAGGCAGTTCAGCATCCCATTGTCTACATATGTCTAACAGTTTCATTGGGAATCCATCTTTAATTTGAAAGCAAGGATGCATGTTCCATTATTCCCCCACATCTGTATATGACAGACCCCAGTAGTCCATCACTATACATTACCATAAGTGAGAAGCCATGAAACAAGGTCAACAACTGGTATGAATTAGAACAGCTACATCAACAGCAAATTATAGCACCATGAAAAAACGCGCCTCTGAGTAACCAACACATGAGTGACAAAAAGGAAACACCAAAAGTCTCTTGGGGAAAATGATGCCACCATGTAATCCATGAGCCAGTGATGAATTCAACAAGAGAAAAGGAATTATTTGGAATAAACAAAACTGAAACAAAAAACATCAAAACATGTCTCTCCTTCTTTCTAACACTTCCTTTGAGATAGATAGATAGATAGATAGATAGATAGATAAGATAGATAGATAGAGTCTTTAACGAGAGATAAAGAGAAGCAGAATAGCTGGAACTCCAACAGGCACTGGTATGGGATGCAGGAGATCAAGTGGTTACTTAGCACGTGGACCAGATGCCTGCTCCCCTCCCCCACAGGCTTTTAGACACACTGACACAGCTTCTGGACTCCTGATGCTGCCTGAAGGAACCCCAGGAAATCTCTGACATTCTTTCTACTTTCCTATACAGAGTATGTTTCTGTGCTAATCAACGCCATCCAGGCATCTTCTACACTCCAACTGCTCCTTCAGTAACAGGCTGTGATACAGGCCAGCGGGTCTGCAAGTGTGGTACTCTCAACCTTGGAGGGAGGGCCTGCAAGTTCACTCCAGGGATCTAAGGAGATTCAAATTGTCTCTGTGACAATGCCAGGAAGTCCCTTTTCTTTTTTCCCAAGTGGCCCATATGCTGAGGGAACAGTGGAGGCTGTGGGTAGAACTATGGTCCCCTTCGCACACAAGACAACACCAGTGTTTTTAAAAGGCAGGACATTTCACTCGGTCATGTCCTTGTTGAGGCCACAAGAGCTATGAATTTGGTTAAGCACTGAACCCCACTTGTATATATGTATGTATGTATGTATGTATGTATGTATTTTCCACTTTTAGCCAGCTTTGCTGTATACTGAGGTATGATGATTACCTTGGGATAAAGGCACTTGGACAATTGACCAGTTGAACTTGACTCTTTTTGAAGGAACATTTTTGTGACTTACAGACAGACTATGGTTTTGCAGAGCTGGATATTTGTAGATGATATCTCAAAAATTCAACAAAGCTGAACACACGGAAGTTAGAGTAGGGTGGCGGTTACCGAAGGGTAACCCAAGGGTGGGGTGTGGGCAATGCAGGGTGGAGGTCTAGAGATCAGAAGTCTAGCATGGACTCTAGTGCACACAGAAATGACCTAGCAGTGCAGACTCCCACCACACAAGGTCAAATGCACACCAACAAAAACTCAGCACTTGTTGAGCACGTAAACGAGACCCGAGGACAAAAAAAGCTTCAGAATTACTGATTAGGCGAGAGGAGGATGAGAGGAGACGGCATGAAGGCAATGACAGAGGGACAAAAAGCAAGAGAAAAACTCAGGTTCAGAGACTCGGAGGCCTGCTGCTCTCATCTTGCTCCACGCACTGCAGAACAGTTCATTCTCTGCTACGTTCAACACACAGATCATGTGCATGTTTGCTATAAATTATAATTAAAACCCACCACATGTTTATATATTTTAATGACATGAGTGTATAACGATATTTGTATATTTGTGAAGTATATGATTTGATGTTGATTATATTATCATATCATATATTACTACAAAGTTACTGCTGGTTTTGCATGAGGGCGATTTCCAAAACTTTATCCAATTTTACAGATGTTGGAGAAGAAGGTTACAAATGACACCTGGGGGCATCCTCACCTGCTCTCTTGGGAGAGGAGCTTGACGCATGCAGTGTGGCCACAGTACAGGGCGTAGGCCAGGGGCGTGCTCTCATTGATGTCCCGCAGGTTGCTGTCCATGCCCAGCTCCAGCAGAGACTGCACGCATTCTGCCTTCCCCGCAGCCGCAGCCCAGTGCAGAGGGGTCCTGCAGGAGTCACACGGGACAAGCACACACGTCTGAGCTCAGGAGTGGTACGGATCACACAGCCAGCCACAACTCCTGTTCACAGTTGACCCGAAGCAGAAAAATCTAGTTATTTCCAATATGGGGATGGTGGACATTAGATGGGACTGTAGGGTGATGACGTGTATGTGTAGGGGCCCTCCCCTAAATAGCCCTTGGTTTTCACCTGGAAGAGGAAGTAGTGAGTTAAAAGGGCTGGCCAGTTTAGGCTCTCTGTAGCACCAATGTTTCTTCCAGAAGGAGTGAGCTAACTTCTCCTACCAGTTGCATTCCCTACTCCTTCCCCAATGCCAATTACAGCCACTGTCTTCAAAAAAATCCACTCAGGTGGATTTGCAAAACAGTACCTCACTGCCATTTTTTCTGTTGAGTTTCTTTAGTGAATACCAAGGTTAAACTTTTGAAATACATGTTTACTTGCCATTTGAGTTTCTTCTTTGAAATAACTCATTACGCCCTTAGCCCATTGTCTATTAAGTGTTATTGTTTTTCTTACTGATTTGCATGAGCTCTGTCTCTATATATTAAATAAGTCTACTGTGGGTTATACTTAAAAAACATTCTTTTCAAGTTGTTATTTGATAATGTTAGTAACTGCTTCATTAAAAGGGTTTTAAAATCTTCAAGTTTTTCCTTTTTTTCCCTCAATGCTATGCAAGGAAAATCACTTCCTTTTCTTAAGGTTTATGTGTTTATTTTGAAAGTTACAGAGAGAGAGATATTTTTTTTCTGGAGGTTTATCCCCCAGATACCCGCAGTGGCCTGGGATGGATGTCACAGAAGCTAGAATCCAGAAACTTCCTCCAGGTTTTTCACGTGGGTCCCAGGGACCACACACTTGGGCCATTTTGCACTGCTTTCCCAGGCCATTAGCAGCGAGCTGGATCAGAGATGGAGCAGCTGAGACATGAAGCAGCATCCACGTGGCTTTACAAGCTGCGCCACAACATCAGCTCCAGAAAGTCTTCATTTTTTTAAGTTAAAAGATAAAGTATTTCCAAGTATTTAAATCTTTATTAAATTACAAAAACATTCTTTTTGAGAAAATGATAAAAAAAAAAGTCAGACACTGGGAGAATATATCTGCCAATCATACATTCAATGAAGGGCTTATCATAAGAATATATAAAGGCCAGACCTGGGGTTGTGGCGCTGCAGGTTAAGCTGCCGCTTGTCATCATCCCTGTAAGTGTACTGGCTCCAGTCTTCAGCAGCTTCATCTACAATCCAGCTGTCTGCTAATACATCTGGGAAAACCATCACGGTGGGCTCCTCAGGAGCATTAGCATCCAGCTGGAGGCAGGCATCGAGCCAGGAATGGAAGTCAAGTCCTCTACTGTGGGACAGGGGCATCCTAAGTGCTCCGCTAAACACCTGCCCTGCCTATCTTTCACAAACTGATTAGAAATGAAAGTTTGGATTATTAAACAGTGCCTATGGTTTTTCTCCCTTCTAGGAGGTAAAGGCTTGGGAGAAAGACTATGTTTGACAACTTGTTCTAGTGGGCGTTTACGTGCTCCTGATGTAGAAGAAATGATTTCTGAAACAGGATTTGGAGAAGCTGTTGGAGAGCCTGGCAGGGGCTGAAGGAGGACTTGTCCTGGTTGGCTGGCTATGCTGCAAGAAGCGATGGGACCATTCCACACATAACTTTGTTTAAGAATGAATAAACCTGGTGTTGGGTGATGTACTTAAGTGACGTGGCTTCACTATGCCTTCTTCCTGGGGCAGAGGAGGACCACGGCTCAGGTGACAATCCTATGAATGAGGGTCTTTCGTGAAGAGAATGGCTACTCCTCCTGTCAATCACTCTGTAAGAGGGCCAATCCGGCAGCAAGGGAGGAGGGCACTGACAGTTCCTCCTGGGTTTCGCGTTGTGGGTAAAGCCTAGGCAGAAGAGCACCGCTGGGAGAGCCCTAAGGCAGGGGGCATCCTGTGGTGGACGGAGAAGGGCTGGGTTGGGGACCACTGTGAAGGTGCTTGCACCTGAGAACTGTGAGAGCCCCCATGGCCTCAGAGTTCCCACTGCACACTCTGTCAGTTGGAGAGTCTCATCATGCTGTGCCATAGGCATAGCACTTTATAGCATTTAATAGGAGCCATGTGTATTTTTTCAACTCAGCAATTAATCAGTCCAGGCATTTGAATGTGACAGATAAGATTTGTCACATTCCATGTGACAGAGGTTTCTAGACAACATTCATTTCAGAATCAGCAGATTCTGCCCACCTATTTAGAGAATGCATTGCCAATAAATTCAGTAGAGGCAAGGGGTGGGACATGGATCTAGGCAGGCATACTGAAGTGTAACAATTCACGCTGGTGTTTTTCTGAAATACCCTTATGTGCCAGTTGCTAAGACTGACTACGTCACTAGCACTGAGCATCCACGTGGGACAGGTCTAGAAGAGCACGAGGGAAGATTTCAATCATCTGACCGAGAGCGAGGGAAACACACAGATCACCATTAATTACCACTCCGAGAGCATCCGTGGCCAATCCTCAATTTCAACTTGATCTAAGTTCTAGTTCTTGGCTTCAGTTCCTGCTTCAAGACAGTCCAGCCAACACGAGAGGTTGCCCTCAGCTGTCACAGTGGCAATGAGATAAATCCAGCAGAGACCAGCAGTGGCAGGAGATGAGGCGTACAAGCTGCAGAAGGGGCTGGGATCTCAGCAGCCAGGGAATGATTCATGAGCCATGTAAGCATTCCCAGAAATACGTAAGGAGGAGAACTTGATAAAAGACTGTCCTCCCAAAAGAGATAAACGGGTCGTGTATTAAACAGAATCGTGACCTCACAAGCTGGGGAAAATTGGGACATTTACACTGCTGCTTCGGGGTCATAGGATCTGTGTCATTCAGCGTAGGTGAGTACCGCAGCCTTTGAAATATCATAGATTTATAATACTTTCATATCTAGGAAGACTAATTCTCTCTGCTTATTTTTTAAATCACTACTTCATTTTTCTTAAGTACTTAAGTCCAAGTATTTAAGACATGGACATTTTGAAAAACTCAAGCAACAGTGAAGCTAAGATTTCAACCTGAATGCGTAATTGCCTGTTGAGCTACAAGAAACGTGAAACAAGATGGAGGGAACCATTCGTCAGCACATTAGGCACATGGCCCGAGTGCAGGGCGGCGGCTGGAATCTTCTGGAGATTTTACTTCCCTTGGAGCTCTTGTAATTTTTATCCTCTGCCCGGTTTGCTTTCTTCCTTGAGCTCTGGGATAGCAGGTTTTCTTCCATAAGAATGTGGTGTCACAGATGGGATAGGTTTTATTCAGAGTTGCTTTGAAAATATTTTATTGGAAAGGCAGTGTGATGAAAAGTCAGATGTATCCAGTGTTGGACTCCTCAATTGCCCAGCACGCTGAAGGGCGGGATCAAGCTGAAACCAGGGGTTTTGAATTCGATCAGGTCTCCCAGCTGAGTGGCAGCGGCCCAAATCCTTGAGCCGTCAGCTGTTGCCTCACCGGCAGTCAGCTGGGGACTGAGCCACAACTGGATCCCAGACACCTGCACGTGGGATGCCGGTATCCCAACTGGCATCTCGCCCTGCCGGGAATATTTTGAAGTAGGCAAAGTTTGGTTCGGCCCATTCTGACACGTGTTCCCTCACTTTATGGCCACTTCACCTTGTTTCTTATCTGTTTTGACTTTCTCAACTGCGCAGGATCAATGTCTGCTCTTAGGAAAATATCTTTCTTCCGTGGTTTATGGTGAATGAAGTCATCACATAACTAACTCCAGATTCTGAGAGCCACGTGGAACCCAAACAGTCTTCGCCCAAGTCCCTTCTGGGGATAAGTTGGTGGGTATTTTTGCGTTTTTACTAAAGAGGGTTAAACACACACACACACACAGTATGCAAGCCTTACTCTATATCCATGAGTTCTACATTGCTGGATTCAATTAAGCATGCATCAAAAATATTTGAAAAGAAATTGTGGGCCCAGTGCAGTAGCCTAGCAGCTAGAGTCCTCTCCTTGAAAATGCCAGAATCCCATATGGGCACTGGTTCTAACCTCAGCAGCCCTGCTTCCCATCCAGCTCCCTGCCTGTGATCTGGGAAATCAGTCAAGAATGGCCCAAAGCCTTGGGACCCTGCACTGGCGTGGGAGACCTGGAGGTGCTCCAGGCTTAGGATTGGCTCAGCTCCAGCTGTTGTGGCCGCTTGGGGAATGAATCATCAGATGGAAGATCTTCCTCTGTCTCTCCTCTTCTCTGTATATCTGACTTTCTAATAAAAATAATCTTAAAAAAAATAGCATCAGGGCTGAACATGCATAACATTTTTCTTGCCATCATTGGCCAGTGTAGTACAGTAACTTTTCGCATAGGATTTACACTGAGTTAGGTATTATAAGTAATCTAGAGATGAGTTAAAGTATATTCTGGACACATGAGGGTTGTATGTAAAAGCGACAATTGAAAGGTTTTGATATGAGAAGGCGTAGGTGAGGACAGGGCAAGGGGAGTTCCTGGAACCAGCCCTGACTCCAGACACTGAGTTATGACTAGACTTATTTTCGATAGTCTGCTTATTCTGTTCTTCTTACATTTCCATTGACTCAACACTTAGCCAAAACAAAGCCTAGATGAACAGGCCATTGTGGGTGAAAATTTCTCAGTCTGGGAGATGATTCAAATTTTCATTTAGGATCCAGCATTGTAGTATAGTGGGTTAGCTGTCACCTGCCACATTGAAATTCCTTATCTAAGTACCATCGCTTGGATTTCCTGCTGCCCCACTTCTGACCAAGCTCCCTGCTAACGCACCTGGGAAAGCAGCAGCAGATGGCCAAAGTCCTTGGGCTTGTGCCACTTCCATGGGAGATCTGGAAGGAATTCCTGGTTCCTGTATTTGGCCTGTGCCAGATCTGGCTATTGTGGTCATTTGGGGAGTAAAACATGAGGTATAGTTTTCTGTCTCTCCCTGTCCCTCTCTATGTTCCACCAAATGAATAAACAAATATATTTTAAAAAACTTCATTTAGTTGCTAACTTGCTTGGAGATAAATCTTTTTATCTTTGGGGCTGGCTTCCTTTTAGACCATATCATATACCTTTGATGATGGAAAGAAAAAAAAAACCCACAAAACTGATAAGATCTCATCTAATTTTTCGAACCCAACAATTCTGAATGCTCAGCCTGCATGATTCTATTCTTTGAGCGACAGATTTTGCCAAGCTTAAGACGTGATGCGGGAACAAAGGAAAAAAAAGAAAATCTTCCATGCAGACCAGAAAGGGCATCCAGCAGCAAGCCGGTTTTCTTAGAAGCGCTGTGAGAACACCAAACATCCTCAGCACAAAGTGGAAAATCTGACAGCCCTGTTCGCTCACAGCGCTTCTCTCCATAACAAGGATTTTCCCCTCCACTCATTACAAGGGAGCTCTCCTGACTGCCACAAGCACACGTGCGTTCCTGGCAGTGTGACCTAGCTGTCCAGGCTAACTCCTTCAACGCCTTTAAGATCACCATTTGGAGAAGGTGACCTGCGGCAGTGCCCTCGACTTTCTGGGTTGCGAGGCTACCTGTCATCCACATCCAGAGCCTGCAGGTGACACTCAGGGACTCGGGCCAGTTCTGTGATGATGTCGCTGAAGCCGGCGGCCGCAGCGATGTGGACACATGTCTTCCCGCTCTCGTCGTCGTAGTTGATGATGGAAGGGCCCTGCGGATGGCTCAGGATGATGGAACACAGGATTCTGTTTCCGCTCTGGAAAGCAGCAACATATAAATCCCATTACCACGAAATCCACTGCTCTTCCCTGTCTATACATGTTTAAGTCAAGTGCAAAGTAAAAAATAAAAACCAAAGAGAGAAGCAAAAGGAAACTAGAAAACATATACTACACACCAGACTGAAAACAGTGTATGCTGAAAAAAAGTTTTTGTGTGTGCCAAATCCTGCAGGGATTTTGTTTTCCCATAACAGCTCATTGCTTCTCCCAGTTAGCAGGCTTACAGTGGGCTTAACATAAGAGGGAGTGCAAGTAAGAGCACCTGAGCCCAGGGCAGGCAAGATACATAGGCCTCCTGAGCAACCACTGGCTACGTAAAATACACCGCTGGAGCTTTCAAGCCCATTTTATGAGCCTTTCCATAGGGCTTTCACCTGATCAGTATGTAAACATATTTAAAAGTAGGTCTGAAATACATCCCCAATAGTCCAGAGGTACTCTTCTTTAAAAGCGCTTGTCATTCCAGAAGGAAGACACAGCAAAAAGCGCGTCAGCTCAGTGAGTATGTTATTTTTGTGTACACTTTCCTAGAAGAGCCAGGGAATTCAGGTTGCCAAGGTGACCCGCGAGGCAAGCGCTGTCTCGGCTTCTCATCTCATGAAGAGGATGTGGCAAACACGAAGTCCCACTCTTCCCGCTCTCTTCCGCCTCTGTGCCTGACCCTTGGCAAGAGTCCTTCGGGAATGGTCAGCTGGAATAGGGACTGCCACCCAGCACCCTGAAGCCAGTCTCTTGGGGGTCTGGTGGGCCAGTCCCAGGCAGCAGATGTCTTGGGAGCTGTGATGCTATAGATAGCCTCTCTGAATAGAAATGAAGGAAGTCCCTCCCCGCTGCTTTATAGCTTTCCCTCAACATGCTCTTCAAAATAAAATCCTGATTTTAAAATTTTCTTTTCTGAAAAAAAATTTTTAAGTGGGTAGGATACATAGATCTGAGAGAGAGAGAGAGAGAGAGAGAGAGAAAGAGAGAAACACAGCTGGCTGATTTCCCACCTGCTGGTTCACTATTCAAATGCTGGGATTGGATCAGACTAAAACTGGAAGCCAAAAACTCAGTCCATGTCCCCCATATGGATGGCAGGGTTCTGGCAACTTGAGCCATCACCTGCTCTTTCCCTGGTTGCATACTAGAACTTGAAACCAGAGTTAGGCCTTGAACCCAGGAACTCTGACATAGGGTCACCTGACACAGGATCATAAGCATTAGGCTAAATGCCTGCCCCTTTCTGAGGACTTTTGAGTTGTTTTTTTTTTTGGGGGGGGGGGCGAAGCTCTATCTTGATCCTACTTATATTGTTATCACTTGTATTGTTCTTTTTTTTTAGTTAAGATGCTCCATGGAACGAGAGCCATGACTACATTGGAAGAGGTCTGTGACCTAGGACTTTTCTAAGTTGTTCCATGTAATTATGATCCTGACAACAATCCCATGAGGTGTGTGCTATTAATACACCTGTGTTGTGGAGGTTGGAAAGTGAAGGCACAGAGGGACTAAGGCAGCTGCCCAAGGTCACAGCTAAGAATCAGCAGAGCCAGGCTTGACAGTGTTCACACACGCCTTGGTTTATCACTTTGCTCGTCTGTCTCTGGTCAAAGGGATGGTCTGTCTATTTGCCCTTACACATTTATCCTGGGGAAATTAAAGTGACAACTGCTTGGTACCACTTATGAGACCCATGACTGTGACACTCATTTTGTTAACTCGGGCTGTCTTTAAAGTGACACATCATTCACTTTCTTTTTTACTTTTCAAAAAACAGTTTTTAGGGCTTCTTTATTTCTTTGACAGGCAGAGTTCTAGAGAGATAGGGAGAAAGAGATGGAGAAAGGAAGACAGAGAAAAAGAGAGAGTGAGAGAGCATTTTTGTCCAGTGACTGATTCCTCTAACAGCTGGCTGAAATCAGGAGCCAGCAGCTCCATCCAGGTCTCCCATGTGAGTGGCAGGGGCCCAAGTACTTAGTCCACCTTCTGCTGCTTTCTCAGGTGAGCTAGCAGGGAGCTGGATTGGAAAGGGACTGCAGGGACTCAGGGCTCGAGCCAGGTTCATAGTGGATGTCAGTGTTGCAGGCAGTGGGTTAACCCATCACATCACAATCCGAACTCCATACTTCCTATTTTGGAAATTGTATTTATGTATCTGAGTGACAGGATTGGGGAGATGAAGAGAGTGAGAGGGAGGTAGGCAGGAGAGGAGGAAGAGAGAAGAGAGAAGAGACAGAGAAAGAGAAAGAGAGAGAGATGTGCTGGCTTACTCTTCAAATGCCTAACAACCAGGACCAGACCAGGTCAAAGCCAGGGGCTTAGAACTCCTTCTGGGCCTCCAACATTGATGGCAAGGGCCCAAGCCCTCAAGCCATCTTCCACTGTCTTTCCAGGTGCATTAGCTGGGAGCTGGATCAGAGGTGGAGTCTTTGGAATTTGAATTGGGATTCTTGTATACGATGTGGGTGTCCCAAGCAGCAGCTTTACCCTCTAGGCCTTAAACTCTCTAAGTTTCTCCAAGGAAGGCTGCTGTGGTGCCTTCTCATGGGAATTGGAAGGAAGCCTGCGGGGACCTGGTTTGTAACTCATGGTCCAGGCTGGTGGTCCCCTCCTTAGCCTGGGCCTGAGGGTTAGATGTGGGAAGCCAGGCAAGGTCACAGAAACCAGCAAGTCCCAGCAGGGAGGCCTTGAGTTTGTTGCCCAGATGGGATCTGGGAAGAATGGAGTGACGGGTTGCACTGGATGACAATGCCAGAAGGAAGGAGGCTCCGGGATCCTGCACTCTGGCTGCCATCCACTGTGGATGGGGATTTTGGATTTGTTTGTCTTTGCAGGGTTTATTTGTTTAGGTGTTGCTTGCAGGTCCTCCCTAACATGATTTCTCTGAAATCTGTCAGTTCTCTGAGTGCTATTTGTCTTATCTTCACCCCTCATGAGGGAGGAGAGCTAGGCAAGGCTGACTCACAGAAAGCCTTGCCAAGAGGAAAGTTGACTTAAAGTGCAGTAACTGAGCTGCAGGCACTTGATAAAAACAAGATTGCAGTACCCCAGTTAGGGATCTTGTTTGTTGTAAGTGACCCTGGAGGGAGTCTGGTACCAGAGGGAGGACCAGCTGGTTTATTGCTCAGATGTCTGGGGAATTTGTTCTCTTGTGACTTCTCAGAGGGAGCGCCCATCTCCTTCCTTCCCTTAAATGTCACAGTATGTTTGTACTGAATAGAACCAGGTCCCCAACATCTTATTTTAGAGATACTAAGAGGGACAAACATAATTGTAGTGTTTTGAGGCAGTGGCCTTTGGGGAGTGATCAGACTGGATTAAGTCACTGGGGTGGAGCCTCCATAATTGAATCCTGCTGGCTTTCCAAAAAAAGGGAGAAAGACCACATACAGGCAGACACACAATCACCCTGTCTCTAAGATCCCCCATGCTGCCTTGGCCAGCAACAATGATGTCACCAGGCCCAAAGCCCTGGGGCCTGCCTAATCGTGGACTTGAACTTCTAGATCGTACACAAAAATAAATCTCTTTATTTTTGTCTTGCTTGAGAGGTGGAGAGATGAAATATCCTTTTTGCTGATTGACTCTCACTCAGAAAGCCTGCCTTGGCTGAGCTTGGGGCAGGTGGAAGCCAGGAACTGGGAAATCAATCCAGGCTTCCCATGTGGACTTCTGTATGAACTCAAAATGTCTTGAGCCATCCCTGCTGCCTACCAGGCTCCATGTTGGCAGGAAGCTGGCATCAGGACAGGAGCTGGGGATGGAAACCAAGTATACCAACATGGGGTATGGACATTTTAACAACTACACTAAATGCCAACTAAAACAGTTTTTAAATAAAGCCTCTCTCGGGTGTTTTTAGTAAGAAAAAGCTAACCTACATTGCTTATTTTGTGATGGCAACTCTATAAAGCAAAGACCAGTGCTTTAGCCTCTATGTTAGAGTGAAACTGGCTCTGGGTGATTGTTATTACATGAGAAGACCAATCTGGTCCATCAGTTGAGCTGGAGCCAGATCCTTCAGACTGGAATGAAGGTAAGCAACAGGAAGCTCTGTGAGTTTATAGAGCATAAGCATTCGGGAACGCATGGTTTGGAGTTCACTAGCAGGAGAAAAATGTTAAACATCTTTGAGCTTTGAGATTATCCATCCAAGTAGTTAGCTCTTAGGACCCAGGCTTTTATCTTGGCTTGGACCTAACAGCCTGGAGCTAACTCTCCTGGAAGCAAAGTAGAAGTTAGAAATGGTAGGAGAGTAGCCCATCTGGGGAGTGAATTGGAGGATGTCTTCTATATAAAAAACTAATAAAACCTTGAAATAAAAATGGTGGGAGTGGGTAGGATACAGCAGCCCTTGGCTGCTCATGTTTTGTTTTATTTATAAACAGATGCTTACTTTGGGAAAATAATCTCCATTCTTGCTGTGCTAGTACAAGACAAGGGTCTACCTTCTGCTTCTTGTCTCACTGGATGAAGTCTCCTGGATAGCTCTGCAATGTCTTGCTAAACCTGTGGCTAGAAAAATCTTCTGGCTGCAAAGAAGCCTAACAAAGGGCAACTCTCAAGAAGTGCTTGCTGGGCAGTGAATAAACACATGAGTGCAATGAACATCACAGACCAGGAACAAAGCGAACAGCTGCATGCTATCCATCCTTTTTGGCTTCTCTCTTGTATCATTACCACCTCCCCTACAGCCCTTGCTACTTTTTCTCTTCTTTCTCTATGTGTATTTCCATGGAGGGGAGTCCCTGTTTGCCCAGTCCCCTTGTCTCTACCTCTGAGCTTCAGGGAATGGACACATGAAAACTGTAACCTAGGTGACATGCCAAAGCTACAGCTTCCTAGACACTTCCAAGCACTTGCACCCAGGGTGATGGGGTTAGCTCTGAAATGCTGACTCATTCTTTGTGGACTCTGGGCTTCTATGACTAATGGGGGTTTCCTCTTCTTCAAACATTGGGTTATGTGGCCTGGCTTCCTGTGTGGGCACTGG